TGGCAGAGGGGGTGGGACGGGGGAGGGGCGCAGGGGGCTCCCACGCTGACCCCGTCCCCCGCCGCAGCTGCGTGGACGCCACCACGTTCCTGTACTTCAGCTTCTTCGCGCCCCTCATCTACGTGGCCTTCCTCCGGGGCTTCTTCGGGTGAGTGCGGGGACACGCTTACACATGCTTATGGACGCTTACACACACTTATGGATGCTAACACATGCTTATGCACGCTTACACACGCTATGGACGCTTACACATGCTTATGTACGCTTGCACACGCTTATGGACTCTTATACACGCTATGGACGCTTACACACGCTTATGGACGCTTACACATGCTTATGCATGCTTGCACACGCTTATGGATGCTTACACACGCTTATGGACGCTTACACGCTTATGCATGCTTGCACACGCTTATGGACGCTTACAAACGTTTATGCATGCTTATACACGGTTATGGACGCTTACACATGCTTATGGACGCTGACACATGCTTATGCATGCTTGTACACGCTTATGGGCGCTTACACATGCTTATGGACGCTTACACACGCTTATGCACGCTTACACACACTTATGGATGCTTACACACGCTTATGCATGCTTGCACACGCTTATGGACGCTTACACACGCTTATGGACGCTTACACACGCTTATGGACGCTTATACATGCTTATGGACGCTTACACATGCTTATGGACGCTTACACACGCTTATGCATGCTTGCACACACTTATGGACGCTTACACGCTTATGCATGCTTACACACGCTTATGGATGCTTACACACGCTTATGGACGCTTACACACGCTTATGCATGCTTGCACACATTTGCACACGCTTATGCATGCTTGCACATGCTTATGCACGCTTACTCGTGCAAACGTTCTCCACAAAGAAGATAGAAGCTATGCACGTTGTTCCGCGTTTCTGTATGTTAATAATCTATTCACTCATCCGGCAAGCGTTTTATTGAGCAGCTACTATAGACCAGACGCTGCCGTAGGCCACCAGGCACCACACGGAACAAAGGGAACACAGATCCCTGCCCTCATGGGGCTTGCTCTTGAGCCGGGGGGAGGCCTGGGGAGGGGGCGGTTTGCGGGGGGGAAGTCCTGCGTGTATCTGAGCACACAGGGCGGAGGGAGGGGTGCTCTGCGGCGCGGATACATGTTGGGGAGACCGGACGCCGCGACACTTGGGATTGGGGTCCAACTCCAGGCTCCCTGCTGGTGGCAGGAGGGCGGGTGCTTTGTCCCCTCCCGCCTCGCCCACTCGCCAGGTCCTGGGGCTGGGAGGGGGGATCGGCCTCCCGCCGGGGTCGAGGTGGAAGAGGGTCAGAGTGGACCCCAGCCCTGGCTCGGATCTGCCCGTCACCCGCTTCACCATCACCGTCGGCCCCAAGAATGCCATGCTGGTCACCGGGACGGGCCAATCCCATGTGTCGCGGCCTGCAGCCCAGCATGGTGTCTGTCCCTGGCCGAGACTCCCCCTGCAGCGGGAGCTCACGCGCCCGGATCGCGGTGGGAGAGCGGGTGCGGGAGCCCCTCGCCGGGCTCTCCCGGGCCCCAGTTTTGCCAGGCGGGTGGCCGGGCGTCAGGTCACCCAGCGGGACTCCCCCGTCCCCTGCCTCCCACCCATCAGGTCAGAACCCAAGATCCTCTTCTCCTACAAATGCCAAGTGGATGAGGCCGAGGAGCCGGACGTCCACCTGCCCCAGCCCTACGCCGTGGCCCGGCGGGAGGGCCCGGAGGCCGCGGGGACCGCGGGGGCCTCGGCCACCAGCTACTCGAGCACCCAGTTCGACTCGGCCGGCGGCGCAGCCTGCCTGGACGACGTGGCCTCCATGCCCTGCCACGCGGGCAGCATCAACAGCACCGACAGCGAACGCTGGAAGGCCATCAACGCCTGAGAGCGGCCGCCCGGCCCGACGGGGCGTCCGGGGGGACAGGGGGACGGGGACGGGCTGGGGAAGAGACCGGCACGTCCCCGAGTCCCAGGCGGAGGAAGATGAGATTGCAGGATCTTGTGTGGTTGGCAGCCTTTTCTGCGCCCCGAGTCCGGAGACCTCTTCCTCCTTTCGGATTCCCCTCGACCACCCCGGCTCTCGCTGGGCGCCTCCTCCCGCCTCCACCTGCCCCTCGTCCTGCTGGGTGACGTCCCGGTGCCCTGTTTCTCCACTGGGCCGGTCCCCTCACCCACCCACCCCATCCCCCCGGCACTGGCCTTCTGCGAGCCCACTATGGAGGCCGGGCTGAAGCGTGTATATTTTCTTGATCTATTTTTCAATAAAAAGCAAATGGAGCAGAAGGGATCGAGGTAGAGGTTTTGTGGGGGGACCGGGGCGGTTGCTTTTGGGGGGACGGGGGGCCCATCTGTCCGCTCAGCCACGGAGCAGTTCCGGTGCCCAGACCCTGCGCTGGCTGCCAGGGACATGGCGAGAAACCGGATCCCAGCTATCTCTGCGAGCTGAGGTCTTCCGCAGTGCCGAGAACTCGGGGTTCAGAATGAGCCCCATCCACGGCTCTGGCCCTCCCATCTCCAGCCACTTCCCCTTCCTCAGCTCCGGTCTGCAAAATGGGGCCAGCGAGCCAGACTTCTGGGCCACGAGGGGATCCCCCCAGGGCCGTCACGGGTTTCCTAGAAGGTTTCCTCCAAGTGGAACATTTCGCTGGGGCTTCACCGCTCGCGTAGGAGCCCGGTAGGCGGGAAAGGCGAGCTTGCAGGGCGTTCGGAGCGGAGCAGGTGCTCGGGAGGGTTTGAAAGTCGAACCCCAAGCTGGGTTCAAGGTCGGAGGCCCTTGACGTGCACAGTCTAAGACGTCCTGGGTCGGCCCAGGTGCGATCACTTAGCGAGCAGCCGAATCAGCAGAGAGGTACGTATGTCACCCCTGATTTTGTGATGTAAACATCCCGTAGTGTGTCTTCTTCCTTTGACATTGGACCTCAGACGTCATTCCGTGTCGCGGGGGAGAGCCGCGTCGCTCTAGCTGGCCCCATACACGTGGCGACGCGACACCCAGAGCCCTCGGGATGGACATTTGTCCCCGATAGATTTTGTGACAACAAACAACGCAACCCCAAAAACCCTCACGATTTTGCTTCCGGTAACTCGTGCAGCTGGAACTGCTGGAGCTCACATTCCTAGTTAGTGTTCATTAGTCTTACTAGTCTTCTGCAGAGATTACTAGTTCTCCACTATGTGTTCTCTTTTTCTTTGTGACTTTTTTAGCTGGGTATACAGCTGCCT